TAGTAAGGAGTTGGCTGGTCCTGTTTGCTTTCTGCCCCACTATGAGGAGCTACATCCTCATTCAGCATCAAGGAAGTGAGCCTGTGTTCATTTTATAAAACGTTGGGATGCCTTGCTCTCCTTGCCCTGGGGTGTGTGGACAGAGGGCCGTTGGAGAACAGGGGCCCTAAATGCTTTTTGCCCAGGACAGGAACAGTTTACAGGCGGATGCAGACCAGAACAATCCCCCAAAGCAATTTTATCCGGCCTCTAGTGGGCTGACCGTGTATTTTACACAGATTTCCTGGCTTGTGTTCAAGGGGTTCAAGTACCTTTTAAGCTCCACAACAATCCCATGAAGTACCAAAAGGGAAAAATCAAACAAATTGGTCACAGTTTCAGTTTCAGTGAAGAGAAAATTGTCACATGTGTTAGTACAAGACCTTAATTTTAATGCACTGAGTAGGAATGAACAGATTTTGCCCGTTTCGTTTCATTTCCTTTTGTATTTGTTGATGTGTTTTTCTGGGGGTTTTTGTAGATTTGTTTGTACTGTGTATGCAATTTGTACAGATCTTACTATACAATCTAAACATTGTTTATATGTACAATGTTTGCCATTTAACACTCTATATAATCCGGTTTATTGATGCACAAGTATTGTTTATGGAGGAAATTCAATACAAAGTAACAGCAAGTGTCACAAATATAATCACCGGTTTAACAGAAGCAATGGACAAGCTAAAATGAAACGGGTATTTTGGGGCTGGATCAGCAATAATGAGAAATTTGAAATCATTGCAGGAGTCAGGTCTCGTGGATTTTTTTATAATGTCCCAATCAGGACCAATTTACCAATTATTGTGAAACGGTTATTGTTAGACTGAAAAGCTGACCTGATTGTCTGACTGCTCATGAACGAGTCAGGTCAGGTTGGGCAGAAAAAGGAAACCAAAATGATCAATGGTTTGGACCACTTTCGCTCAGAAGAAAGGCAAAAGGCTTTGGGATTTTTGGAGTTCAGAAAACATGCTAAAGGGGGGGGGGTGATAGAACAAGTTTATAAAATTATAAGTATGGGGCCTAAAAAGACCCACGGGAGGGGATCTCATGTCCCCATTCCATCTCTTTTGCCTCCCCATGGCAGTGCCTGCAGTCGCCCCCGTCTTTCCCACCCCCCTGCCTGCCTCTGCTCCTTCCCTCACCCACTTTTTCCTGTTCCTTTCCCCATCTTCAACTTTCCCCTTTTCTCCTTTTTCATTCTTCCTCCAGTTTTACTTTCTGCACCTCCTATATTTTACCTTTTTCTAATCTGTCCCTCTCCCCCCATTAACTGAGGCTTGCAAACCTCTGCACAGTATTGCTTGCAGGCTGTGGGTTGCAGGTTGTCCACTGAGGTCTCGCAGTGTAGTCCACGGGTTCCCAAACCTTTTTGGGCCACCACCCCCTTGGTTCCATAAACTCATTTCCAGTGCCCCCTACCCTGCCCTATAAAATGCACTATTCAGAACAGCAGTTTGCATGACCCACCAAGGAAGATGATAATGAAATTCAACATAGTAACAATTAATTGCACATTTATTCAAAATCCAGTTAAAACATTATGATTTAATTTATTCATAAAACTGATGAATTTGATCCAGTGATACCAGCATTTCAAAGTCTGATAGTCATTTATCAAGAATCTTAGATGACACATTTAGTAACCACTGTTCAATAAATTCTTATTATGAAATGATACCAGTTTTCCAGTGTCTGGAGCCTTAAATCACTATGTTTAGTAATCTGGACTCAATTTCTTTGATTGGATGACCCACACTAACACCACATTCCACCAAACAGGATGTTGGAAATGCCAGAAGGCGCTTCTTAACCACTGTCCATAGTGCAGGACAGAGACCAGAAATTTCCTTCTGCAACCAAAACTCTCGGTATGATTTCTTAAACTTTGGCCTCAGCTCACTGTCACTTTGTAGCTCAGTTTCTTCTTCTTCCACTATACCACCTTCCTCAGTATCTGAAAATGGATTTATCACCCAATCTGGAATGTCCATCAAAAGAAGATCCTCCAGTTGCTCAGGCGTAACTTCATGCAGCATATCCAAATGGTCACCTTTCTCTTCTAGCCCAGACAAGCTTGGAAATTGGTCTGGCTTGCGACAGCCTATGTTGCATTTGAATAGAGCTGACTCTGAAATAACTGTAGAGATGACAGATTTGGCCTTAATAAGATTGACCTAATTTCCTTGCAACTGCAGATTCATTTCATTGAACTTTACAAATCATTCTGATAAATAAGTAATGCCATGCCCAATCTCTTTGTGTTCATCACTGAGCAAAGCATTTACATCTTCAAAAAACTCCACAGTGGTGTCAAAAAGGTCATTGAAGCATCTCACATAGTTGCCTTAATAGCTAGCGAACTTCAATATGAAGCAGCAAACGTTCAGTCTCTTCATCATTCTCAGCACAGAGCTCCTGGAAGTCAATCATGGAGACGATGGGCTTTAATTTTATTCACTGCAATAATGACAGGGTATAATGACGTGTGCAGGTGATCATGGAAGGTTTTTTGCAACCAGACATTGGTGATGAGTTATACAGTGAATGGTAAAGACGTTTGACAGTCCTTTTCTTAACTAAGCAGCACACCAATGGTAGTAACCAGTCATTGATAGTGCTCCATCAGTTGCACAAACAAGTATGTTAGTCTTTGAAGGAAGAGACAAGAGAGACAAAGAGACAAAGACACACATAATGACAACAGGTTTTCAAAACACATTGTACTGGTCCGACTAGAGCTCTGGCAGTGTATTTACTAAAACTTTTGATATTTTCCACCGGATTTCAGCACTCTGCAGAGGCAAAAACTTAAAGTGCCATTTGCCAGCAGGATGCCATAGCTTGGTCAATTGTACATAAGTGAACAATGAGGTCAAAGGGGCCCACCTCCAGAGCCCTCTAGCTAGGTAATCCCACCACCCCTAGGTGGTGCCACCCACTTTGGGAACCACTGGTGTAGCCTCATGAGATCTCAGTGGCACACTGTTCCTAAAGAAGCAGACGTTGCTTCTATGAACTGGGGGGTTTTCTAACCCCCCAATGTATTTGTCCTACCTTTCACATCTGGAGCTTCCCCCAGGCTTGAAGAACAATACTTTTGGTCTGTTTTTGCCCTGATCATGGGGAGTTAAAAATAAATATATCCACATGTTATGGCCTGGTTCAGAGATTCCCATTATACACAATGATTATTATTGTGCCATCAAGTTGCAACCAATTTATGGTGACCCATCATGGGGTTTTCAGGGCGAAAGATGAAAAGAAGTGGTTTACCATTGTGGGAGAATTTTCCCTTCTCTCACAGTACTAGAAGGAAGAATCATTTAATGAACTGATAGGCAGGACAAAAAAAAAATAAAGTGGATAATTAAGTTATGAAACTCACTGCTGCAACATGTAATGGTGTTCACTGGCACAGGTGGCTTTCAGATTTGACAAATTTGTGGAGGATGAGTTTATCAATGGCTATTGGAAATGATAACTGCATGGAAACTCCATGTTCAGAGGTAATTTACCCATGGATGTATGTGGCCGGGGGCGGAATACAGAGAAGTTTTGACTTCCACATACTGCTTATGGGCCTTCTGGGTGTCCACTGTAGAAAACAGCATGCTAGACTAGATGGACTCTTGTTTATTTGTTTGTTTATTTAAAACATTCATTAGCTGCCTTCTCCCTTGCAGAACTCAAGGCAGCTTACGACAAAACACAAAACACTATAAAAACAAAATAAAAACAACAATTATAAAACTCATTAAAAGTTCCAATATTGCAGAAGTCTCCAACAGCAACTAGTGCTCCCCCCCCAAAAAAAAAAAGACTCAGGGAGAGACTGCTAGAAGATCTGCTCTAGGCTTTTGATTTTTAAAAACTTTTTCATCGTAGGATTTTTCTCTGTACTGCTTAGTCGATCAGTTTGTCTCTGGTGTTCTTCTTCTAGTCCATGTACTGTTTCTAGGATGGAACAAAAACTGGTAAGGTGCTTGTGGAATAGCTCAGAATATTTCCCATTACTTGGAAGTAGCTCTGATGACATGAAAGGATGGTGAATGGCAACCCCCCCTGCAACATAGTGTCTGCCTTTCCCCCTTTCAGTGCTTAAAACAAGCACAGGCAGAGGGGGCACTTTTGACTGGGGAAGTGATGTTGGAGGGGGGGGAATCTTCGTCCTGATCCATATCCCCCCAGCAGTCATTTTTCACTGCTAAATCACCCATCTGGGGAATCTGATTCACAACGTCACATCATTTACACATTCAGCAGAACGTCATCAAGTGATGAGAGAAATTAAGGACTCAGAGTTAGCAACCTTGGGGGGAGAGGCTTGTCACCATGATCCTATACTACCACACCAGTGTTGTAACTCTGAACTGACCATTTGGGTCTATGCCTTTTAGAAGATACATGCGCAGGGTCAGTCCTTACCTCCATTCAGGCCTGTAGCCAGGATTTTGTAATTCAAAGGGCCTTTAAATAAGTCGGGGGGCACTGACATCACAAAATTAAAAAAATAAAAATAAAAATTTAAAAACTCATTTTGTGGCGTTTGCACTCTGCTTGCCTACACAGGGAAGCAAGCCACACTTGGGGAAGGGGCGGCGGTGGGGAGTCCTCCAGGCAGCCCACAGAGTTGGGAGTCCTCCAGGAGGCCCAGAGAGCCGGGGGGGCTGGATGGAAACCAGGGGGCCTTGGCAGGAAGTCAGGGGGGCCAGGCCCTGAAATGCCCCACTGTAGCTATGGGCCTGCCTCCGTTTTCTTCTTTCAACAACAGAAAACTCTGCACATGTTCAAAGGTATTGTGTCATGAGTACCAGGATTTTTGGAAAGGAGGCATCCTTGTGGATGACCTCAACAAATACATTATTAGGCAAGCCAAGCCAGTGAGATTCTGGACAGGTAGCTACCCTTGACACTAATATATCCGAATGTCTTATATCCTGATGTCTTTTTCTCCCCAGGAGTCCGCTACAGCCAGCAAGGCAGCAACGAAGTCACTTCCTCCTCGGCTATTAATCACCATGGCAACAACCCCATGGTGACCACCAGCCAGGCTGTTCTCCAGCAAGTATCTCCTGCAGGTTTGGATTCAAGCCACAGCCTCCTCTCACCGGATGGTAAAATGGTGAGTACACCTGGCCCCATTGTCGCTCGGGCAGCGATAAGATAAGAGGGCCTAGCAGGCAAAACAAACAAGACTTACTTGGGGAAAAAACCCCTTCCCCCCCCCCTCACAAGGCCCATATTAAACAATGAAGCATTTGTGAGGTTGGGAAAGGAAAAATCTCAGCCACACGCAGGCCAAGCCAGTGATCTGTACAAGCCAGCAGGTAGAAGGCCAGGGCTTTGAAACCCACCAATAAATGTGACACAGAGCCATTTTCGGCTTATTGATTGAATGCCTCCAAAAGTGGGACACTGTGTAGATAGCTGTTTGCTCTTCCCTGACAATAGCATTCCCGCTGATTTATTTATTTATTTTGAGAAACTCTCCTATCCATTTCCACCCTTTTAAAATTTTATTTAGGGGTCAGCTTCTTTTCAAGCAAGTGTCCATATTGCCTACCAAGTTATAGAAACCACAGGCGGAATTCAGGAAATATTTCTTTCAAGGCAGGAGTCCCAGGGCACCTTAAACACTAACAAATTTATTACAGTATAAGCTTTAATGCATTAGAGCTCACTTCTTCAGTTGCTATGAAGAGGAAAAAAATCCACATTTTATAAGGAAAATTACAGAATGGGAATAGGGAGGAGCTGGGGTCAGAAAAAGGCTTGGTGTGAATCCCATCAAAAGTATTTCAGGTGTGATTCTTTGTGTAAGACACTAGACCAGTGTAAGTGACTCTTCATAGCATCTGAAGAAGTGAACTCTGACTCACAAAAGCTCATTTTTGGAATACGTGTTAGACTACTGTAGTAGAATAAAACAGAAGTCTATTGGCACCTAACAAAATTTATTCCAACATCGGCGTTCATGAGCTAGAGTTTACTTTATCAAAGAACATTGGACAAGGTTGTGTCTTGCTGCATCCCCCACCCCTCGGCTCACAAAAACATATGCAGGAATAATTGTTGTTAGTTTTTGAGGACTGGAATTCTGTCAAACTTTGCTGCCACAGACCGATGTGGCTACCAATGTTCCCTCTAAGCTGTGGAGTCTTGTGAGCAAAAATTCTACTTTGTGAGTTACTGGCTACTGCACAAATTAGTTTGCTCTGGAGCCATCTTTCCTGAGCTAAGGCAAAAATGTGTGAGCCGGAGGCTAAAAAACTGTGAGCTAGCTCACACTAACTCAGCTTAGAGGGAACACTGGTGGCAGGCTACCCCTCTGGATTTATTATTTTTTTTAAACTATCTGAAAGTTCCAGGGCAAACCAAGGCAATCAAATAACAAAAACATATTTTATTCCAGTTCATCTTTTGGGCCTGGCTCCTCCTCTGTCCTTTTAATGAAAATATATACTGGCTACTGCCTGAAAGCAGTTTGCATATTGCTGAACTGCGGTGGTACGAAACTGCTTGGTTAGTAGTGGCAGCATGAAAC